ATAATTAAATTAAAATTTGTCATTACCATGTACTATATGTAACAATAGTAGGCGCTTCATGCTCAGAATATATTGTATGCTCATAATCCAGTGTAACAGCTAACATGCTTATGTTGAAACACAAATCAACAACAACCAGCAACATGTTCATTCTTTCCTTATTATGGACAACTACCAAAATGATTCATTTACAAATCAACAACAAGCAACAAAAGGATGGTTTGTTCCAATAAGTTCAAACGAAGCATGACAATGCATATTACATTTTATATATTTAGTTTATTACCATTTATGCACTTTAATATTTTCTCATATGCGTATCATAGTCAACCATGAACAACACATTCACATCAATTTCCCATCACATTCGTCAATCCAAAAATAATAAAAAAAAAATCAGTTCAATATCCAAATATCCAAAATCCAAACAAAATAGACCAAATTATGTCAAAATCAATAATGATAATAATGAATCAGCAAATCAATCAATAATACAACCAAGTAAATTGTTCAAATTCTTGGAATTATACAATTACTCAAATTATACAACTAAGTGAAGTGAATTGTTCAAATTCTTTCAATTAAACAATATTACAAGTTTTACTCACCAAAATGGCCGCTATTGCCGCCAATTGACGATACCGGGATCGGATTCCGACCACAACCCACTCGTCGAAGAACCCTACCGCGCAGCCAGTCGAAGAACCCTACCGCGCAGCCAATCGAAGAACATTAATGAAGAACTTTGGTTGGAAAGGGAAAGTAAGGGGAAGAGCAATTAAAAACGGGAAATTAATTGTAATGGTATAGGGAAGCGCGCCAATGCATATTTGTTTCACATTTGGGTCCCGCAAGAGTACATTTATACGCCAAGACTACTTACTGGTAGAACTGTCAAAACCTGACCCGACCCGAAATACCGATCTTAACCCGATTATTAACTGACCCATCTAAACCCGAAAAAAATGGTGACCCGAACCCGACCTAAAACCAACACTAGACCCGAGTTGACCCGAGTATTTGAGACCCAAACCCGAACATGAACCAACCTAGAGACGACCCGACCCGAATGTAACCCGTAAATTATTGACTTGAACCGAACCCGACTCGAACCCGAGAATGACCCAAACCCATTTTAACCCGTCAAAATCCGAATTCAACCCGACCTGTTACTAACCCGACCTGAATTCAACCCGACCCGAATTTAACCCGACCTGTTACTAACCCGACTCAAATTTCAACCCGAATCGAAATCAACCCGACTTGTTATTAACCCGACCCAAATTCAACCTGACTTATTATCGAATCATTATGTGTAGGTCGTTATCTCATGTTAGTATTCGAACGGAAATTGAATCCTAACTCTATTCCTTTAATATTTCACTTAACTACATAATGTCTAGCCGTTCCAATAATTTAGCGTCATTTCTAAATATGTATTTCTAAAGTACAATTTAAAATAAAATAAATTTTTTCGTAAAGTAAAATCTAAGATTTTGCCTAATTAAATCAACCAAATGTATCTTTTGTTTTTTATTTTCTAAATTTATCTTCAAAACTTCCATATAACTACTTAAAATCCTTTTATTGGTCCTTTTTTCAAATTTTATTATTCACTTGTCAATTTAATATTTTTAAAAAATATTTAAATTAAGCAATTTAATTTGGAGTTTTAAAAAAAATTTTGTAAACAAATAATGCCATTAAAAAAAACGTTACATAAACATACCGACCCATAAAATGTAACTGGACCCAATATGACCCGACCTGATATCAACCTTAAACCCATATTAATCCAATATTTAATACCCGAAGTCGAACATGACCGGACTTGATTATTATAACCCGAGAATGACAAGACTTGAAAAGGACCGATTTGATTATAACCCGAAAATTATTGACTTTAACCAAACCCGAAAATGACCCGACATGATTATAACCCGCAAATTATTGACTTGAACCAAACCCGACTCGAACCCAAGAATGCCCCGACTTAATTATAACCCGCAAATTATTGAATTGAACTGAACCCGACTCAAACCCGATAATGACCCGACCTGTTTATAACCCGTAAATAATTGACTTGAACCGAACCCGACTCGAACCCGAACAAGACCCTAACTCGTTTAAACCCGTAAAAACCCGAATCTAACCCGACCTGTTATTCACCCAACCCGAATGTAACTCGACCTTTTATTGACCCGACCTTAACCCAACCCAAACCTGATGAGATATATGACCCGACGTGACCCGACTCAAGCATGACCCAACCCAAATCCGACCCGCATAGGTCCCGACATTAACCCTTATTGACCCGACCCGAGATAATCCGACTCAAACCCGACCCATTTATCCGAATTGACAGCTCAACTTAATGGGGCCCGCTTTTGCTTGTGCTGGGAAAACAAATTCCAGCAATTTGCTAACCATCACCTCATTTAGTCATTTCCTCATCCTCATCTGTATCTCTCTCATCAACCACTCAACCACCACCTCCCACCATGGGAACACCACCATCACCACTCCTTCACCATTACCACCGGCACCACTATGCATCAAATCACCACCACCGATCACACCTGTCACCAGTCACCAATCACAACCACCGAACCTCCAATCCTACAAATCACCACATCCACCACAACCGAACCTCCAATCCCACAAATCACCACATCCACCACCACCGAACCTCCAATCCCACAAATCACCACATCCACAACCTCGGAACCTCCAACCCCACAAATCACCAAATCCACCACGACCGAACCTCCAATCCCACAAATCACCACATCCACCAACACCGAACCTCCAATCCCACAAATCACCACATCCACAACCACCGAACCTCTAATCCCACAAATCACCAAATCCACCACAACCGAACCTCCAATCCCACAAATCACCACATCCACTACCACCGAACTTCAATCCCACTAATCACCACATCCACCACCACCAAACCTTCAATCCCACCAATCACTAAATCCACCAACGTTTTCCATTGAAGCACATTCCTTGTTCTCAATCGTCGCAAGCAGCTCCTGAGGTAATTGAATATCAATTTCACAATTTAGGGTTTATCCTTAATTTAATTTAATTTTAGTTGTCAGCATATTTAATTTAGGGTTTGGATTTTTGAAATATTGGTTCTAGTAACGTTATGAAAGATTATATGAGCGATTTTGTGGCTAGAGAAGAAAATTACGAGCTTTATTTGATAATTGAATCAAATGTGCCTTTTGTCCTTACTATTATGTGATTTTTAAAGCTTAATTTGATAATTAAATGAAATTTGGTTGCTAAGGTATTGCAGAACCCTTTATGTTACGATTGAACTATTCTAATATGATGTTTAGGGTATAAGTATATTTAATTGTGTTAAATTCTAAGTATATGTTGAGAAATTCCAATTTTTTGATGAATATTAGAGATGAAATTGATGTTGGGTTTAATGATTATTTTTTTGTGATTATACTGACTTTAATTTTTATGATTAATATATAGTTATGGCGGTGGAGCGGGTGCGGCGGATTAAAAGTGGGCCACATACTGTAGTAACGAACACACGTATAATGGTGGGTTTTAATCAGAAGTATAGAAGACTTTCGAGAAAAGGGAAAGAACATTTTTCTTCAATGTGTAACGATTTACTGGCAGTAATTCGTACGCAATGGAGAGTAGATTGGAGTGCTACCGGGGGATTTCAGCTTTATCGCGTTCGTGCGATACGGACTCCGGGCAGGCGGGCCCCCCCTGTTGCCTCCCCGTCCCCTGTTGGCGCCCCTGTTGCCTCCCCTGTTGGCGCCCCCGTTGCCTCCCCTATTGGCGCCCCCGTTGCCCCCCTGTTGGCGCCCCCGTTGCCCCCCCTGTTGGCCCCCCCGTTGCCCCTCCTGTTAGCCCCGTTGCCCCCCCTGTTAGCCCCGTTGCCCCCCTGTTAGCCCTGCTGGCTGCCTTGCCAGGCCCGCTAGCCCGACCAGGACACGCAAAAGGCGACGCTCGCCTAGCCCAGACTGTAAAAAATTTTATAAATTATATACTTTGAACTTATTTCTTCATTTGTAGTGGTTAAGATCCTAGCATTGTGTTATTCAACTGCTAAAGATTTGTACATTTGGTGTATTATTTGCTGGGAGTTTTTTTTTCTTGATAGTGTGATTTCTTGGGATTTGATGTTGTGATTGCATTCTTTGACTTGGGTATTTGTTGAAATTTTAATTTTCTTAATCTTTTCTGAACTTGATGTATTACTGGTAACATTTTTGATATTGGGTTTGAATTGGAAGGTGATAGAATGCTTACAATCGCTTATACGAATATGTTAATGGGCTTTATTTTTAATTTGATAAAAATAATAGAATATTAAAAAAAAAACTCAGTAGATATTTATTTTGGAAATTATCTTACTGAATTTTCAGGAAAGTTATTGTCAATTTGTTGGTGTTCAATGAATTTGGAAATGGAATATTCGGATATTCCTATTTGGATTTTGGCTGTTATATTGGCTTGGAATGAAGGGCTCTAATGTTTGATTGAAGATTTGAAGTATAATATACCAATAATTAAATCAATGGGATAATGTAAATTTCTGTTGCTACTTTATGATAGTGACATAAATTTCTGTAAAGTATTGGTTGGTTTGTTGTTTATTGGAAAATGATATCAAAGTCGTTCATTTCATGCTTGTTATGTGGGATATTAGGCAGTGTTGGTAGTTGGTATTCCCTAATTGTAAGATCAGTCTGGACTATCCCGAAAAGAGAAGGCGAGTTTGAATTACTTGACCCAAATGAGGTTCTCCCAAAACTAATTATCGGTCTGATCAGTATTACACTTCTTAGTGCGGGACAACTTACATGTGCGATGTGCACACATATTATTCTTACTCAGTGTAGGACAATTTACATTATGGAGTCTTAATACTTTAGCTTACCTTTTAGCTTCATTTAGTGGGTACACTAATACTGTGATAAACAATGCCAAAGGTCATGCAGGTAATAACAATAAAGTATTTTATGATGAGACCATCAAGTTGATAATTGTTTATTGTGTGGTGGTGAAAGTGATTGCATCAAAAAAAGAAAGTGATTGAGATTTTTTATTTTGGCTGATTACATTGAGCAGTTGGGTTTGAATGCTTATTTTCAGAGTCCCCTTTTTTGAGCAGCTATCAAAGGAGTCTTTTCGTGTTTAGTATTACCGGGTATTGAGTTCTAGTAATCGTGATATTGTTTTATTCTTGTCCCAGACATGGATACTTCTGCTGGTCAAGGACTCTACCCGCTGCACCACTGCAAAACTCTTCATTTGGTGTGTTAAACTTGTATTCGTTCCTTTTATTTTCTTGTATTTCTCTCCTTAGGTATGAGAAGATTTAAATGGGCTGATTCTTGTATTTGATGAATGGATGTATGATTTTTACAGGTAAGGCATGCACAAGGATATCATAATGTTGCAGGAGAGAAAGATGTTAAGGCATACTTATCCTATGACTATCTTGATGCTAGCCTAACTTCTCGTGGATGGGAGCAGGTTGCATATTGAACTTATTTTAATGTTCTTCTTTCACCCCTTATCTACGCTGTTAAATAAAATTTAAACATGGTGGTATGAAATTGTTTTGTTATTTTATTAATCTTTTCCCCCTTTGGCGTAATAGGTGGATAACTTGCGGAAACATGTCCAAGGAAGTGGACTATCCAAGAAATTTGATTTAGTAATCACATCTCCTTTGACAAGGTATGCATCTACTGAAAGTTGAAAGTTAATTATGTTCAATTCTGTGTACTTTTTTCATGTAAGCTTCGAGAATTTACTTTTAACATTACTGTAATACTGTGCTAAATATCTCTGTTGATGAGCCAATTTTGACGAGGCGTGAGCATCTTTGCAAAATTGTCTTTAGCTTCATACATTAGTTAATGAGATTAAGAACAGGGACAATCCATACCCTATGTGATAAGCTGGTTTTTATCTGATGGAATCTCAAAGGGACTTGCCTTCATCCCTTCTTGAGGTGCAGTACTACTGCAAAGGGTAAGAGAATGTAGATGAGTGTAAGAAAAGGAGGGACAAAATTACGGACTGCGTTCTCTCAAACTTTCATGAAATCATGAATACATAGATTACAAAAGTGAAGTGTCCAATGAGTTTGAATTTTTATTTATCATTCACGGTTACCAGTTCAATAATCATACTCCATATTTATCTTGATTTCTATCTCACGGACCGTTGCGATTCTTTGTAGGACCATACAAAATGCAGTAGGAGTTTTTGGAGGTGGTAGCTATAATGATGGTGTAGATATTGCACCCCTGATGGTGGCAGACGCAGGGAACAGTGGTCGACCTGCAATTTCAAGCTTTGGCTGCCCTCCTTTTCTAGCAGTTGAATCTTGTCGAGATCACTTGGTATATCATCTAATCCTTAGGTGGAAGATTATTGCTGAATTAAATAAGTTTTGTGCACAAAATTTTATATATCTCTTTATTTATATTTTGGCGAGATGTTTGCATTTAAATTTAGATGACACCTGGGCTTATAGGACATTAAATATCATCCTTTGCTCCTCTTTGGATATGTGATTCCAGGTTGTTAATTGCGGTTAGCTAAACTCTTATACTAATCATGTCATCAAATAAGTTTTAGTATCTTACTATCCTGCCCTTAAATGGGGGGTGAAGTTTGAAATGGTAAACTTTTGCAGCTTCCAAGTTCAAAGTATCTTTTTTTTAAGCTTTGAAAAGTGAATTGATTTGCAGAACTGATAAAAGTTTATCTAACTTCCTAGGAATCCTAGCTATTTGTATAATAAAGTAAAAAGAATATCAATTCTCTATGTATCAGGATTACTAAACCTATACACATTATTTTACTAGTAGATATGTACTAAAAATTGGTGGGTTGTTGAAAGTTCTATGAAGTGTCTCTATATAAAAGTTAACAGAGTAAAGTCTCTAATTCAATCACAAAAGATTTAGATAAATCAAAGCTTCTTAGATTCAAAACGTGTTGATACTTCAGTAGTTAAATTGGTAAATTATCACCACTATTAGTTGGCTATGTAGTTTCTAGATCACTAGAAACTTATAATCTTGCTAAGGGCCTGTTTTCTTCAGCTTATTTCAGTTCATTTCAGCTCCAATAAGTTCAGTTTAGTTCTTATCTTAATTTTCTTCTCTCATAAAATATTCAATTTAGTTCAGTTCAGCTCCAATAAGTTCAGCTCAGATCAGAATAGGCCCTAAGATAAATCGACCCTAAGTCCCTATTAAACTTGTATCATTAGATCAATTTATACACTTGAGACCGCTAAGAACTACACACTCCTAGTAATCTCAAGTCATTTGCTCCAAACAACAACTACCGTCGTCTATCATAATTCAGTCACCCTAAACTAATCAAATAAAATTTAATGTATATTGTAGTCTCTCTTATAGGAGGAGTTAATCCAAGAATTTGCCATTTGAAAGCAGAATGCCACTATAAAACTTTAGTGCCTCATTCTTTGCTTATCACTAATGTGATTGCTTCTCTGTGCAATGGACTGCAATCTATGATAACTTGTGCTCCCTATTTTTGTTTGCAGAGAGTCCATCCATGCAACAAGAGGAGGACTAAGAGCGAATACGAAACTCTCTTTCCTGCAATTGATTTCTCATTGGTAAGTTCGGAAGTAACTTCTTTTCTAGGTTTTGGTTATGATTATATGGGAATCAACTGCTTGCTTGTATTCTCTTATATGATCATGGTACAGCTCCCGACTTTTGTGCATGCTATTTTTCCTTAATGCGAAACATCTGAAATTCAGATTGAAAATGACGACATATTGTGGAAGGAGGATGTAAGGGAAACAGATGAAGAACTTGCAGAAAGAGGAATGAAGTTCTTGAAATGGTATTGTTTGCTCGTGAATTTATGTAACTGGTGACTCTGCTTTACTTAACATATTAATTACTATTTCATCTATGATTAAGGCTATGGACCCGGAGTGAAAAGAAGATTGCTATTGTCAGCCATAGTGGCTTTCTGTTTCACACACTCAGTGCTTTTGGAAAGGATTGTCATCAAGTGGTGAAAGATGAAATTTGTAAACAGTAAGTGTTGTACTGCCTTTCCAAACTGTTTGATGATGTACTTTAAATTGTTGTATAGCTTAGAAATTTTTTGTTTTCTTTGACCTTCTACCTTAGAGACTAAACAGTTTCGAAACTACTTGTAATACATACTCACTTTGTTTCAGAATAATTAACACAATCAAACTCGGCACATATGCAGCTAATGCATTAGTTTGACCTTAAATGTATATAATCTATATGTTAGTGAAAAATATAATTTTTTTTTATATTATGATACTTTATTTAAGCACCTATTCAACGACATATTTCATGATATCGTAATTTACTGTGGATTGATTACTTTTTACAAATTCATGATATAGCTTATACCTTGCCATGCAAATTATGAATTATTATTTACAAAAACTGAAAACTGACATTGGTAACAAATAGGATTGCACGCTCGACTTTTTCTACCTCTTGTTCTAACATGGCGCTTGTGGCCGTGTCTGTAACTGTAATGAATAGCATAAGAGGTAGTTTGGGTACTGGTGGTGTTAAAATTGGTAGACTTTTGAGATAATCTTTAATTTTCTCAAAGGCCTCTTGGCATTGATCGTCCCATTCATTTTTTTCCTCTTTTTTCAATTTTTTTAAATATTGGCTCACAAGTCATAGTCAATTTGTTGATAAATCGACTAATGTATTGCACTTTGCCAAGGAACCCCCTAATTTCTTTTTCTGTTTGAGGGGGAGGCATGTCAACAATTACCTTTATTTTAGAGGGATCGATCTCAATACCACGTGTGCTAACTACGTATCCGAGTAACTTGCCGGAAGTTACTTCGAAGGCGCATTTTTGCGGATTCAATCGCATGTTGTACTCTTTTATGCGAGTGAAAAATTTGCATAATGCTTTTATATGTCCCATTCTATCTTTGGACTTTACGATCATAATATCATCCACATACACTTCTATTTCTTTATGCATCATATCATGCAAGAGAGTCGTAGCCGTTCTTTGGTACAAAGCTCCTGCATTTTTTAAACCAAATGGCATGACTTTATAGCAATACGTACCCCAAGGGGTGATAAAGCCTGTCTTTTCTTCATCTTCTTTTGCCATTAAAATTTGGTTGTAACCTGCGTATCCATCCATAAAGGATAACATCGCATGTTCAGCCGTGTTATCTACCAATATATCAATATGTGGTAGAGGAAATTCGTCCTTAGGGCTAGCCTTATTAAGGTCCCTAAAGTGGACACACATGCGAACTCGTCCATCCATTTTAGGGACTGGGACGATGTTCGCTACCCATTCTGGATAATTACATACGCGAATGAAACCTGCGTCCAACTGTTTTTGTACTTCTTCTTTTATTTTTAACGCGACGTCAGGTTTCATTCGTCGAAGTTTTTGTTTTACTGGTTTAGACGTAGGGTTCAAGGGAATGGTATGTTCCGCAATTTCCTTATCTATTCCAGGCATGTCCTTGTATGACCAAGCGAACACGTCTTCGAATTCTTTGAGCGTCGATATGAGGGTCGATCGCTCTTCCGGATTTAGAGTTAAGCCAATTTTGACTTCTCTTTTGTTTTCCTTAGTTCCTATATTGATTGTTTCAGTTTCTTCAATGATAGGGTTCTTTTGTTCTCGTTCATTCATTAGTTTAACCAACTTATTAATATTATCATCTTCATTAGATTGATTTTTATAGCATTCGAAAGATTCAATAGAAGGCATATACTCGGAAATAGAGCTCGTATTATTAGAATCAAAAGAAAGTACATTAAGAGAAGAATCCTTTTTGGGATCTTCGTCCTTAGAACTAGAAAATAAAGACTCAGTAATGGCCACAAGGCCTAGATTTTCAGCTTCCCTAGAGTCTATAATAGATTCGTCGTCCGATTCTTCAAACATCTTCCCTTCGCCTGTGACGATTTCCAGCTTATCGCCTTTGTGAATTGTGATTGGTCCATTTGAAATATTTCCTCCATCCATGCTCAAAGGTTTCATTAGAAGGGTTGATCAATGAAGTTGGTTCAAAAGATTCATCTTGGATGGCTTTTGGTTGGCCATTGTAGCGACATGATTTTGCTTTAGTCCAAATAGCAAGTTAAATGCTTGCATATCATAGCACCCTGGAATTGGGCATTTTGATTTAACGATACTAAAATCGTCATCCAAGACGTAGCAATCATGAAATATTTCAAATCCAGGCTTCTTGATTCCTTCCAAAACTAGTGGTTCTGGAAAGTCATAGCATGGGTAGTCTTCTCCCTCCCTAATGAATTGTCCATTAAGGGTTTGTTGGTAGGATGTGAGTAAAGTGACTATCCCTTTCTTGTTGTTGTCTCTACGTGCTTTGTTTTTCGCATCGTGAGACTTTAATTCTTCTTTGGTTGGTTTATATCTCAATCCAAAGGAGAAGCTTTTCTTTGGGATAGGAAGTAAGAAAGATTTCTTCATTCCTATTCCTAAAGGCATCCCAGGAAAGTAACTACTCTTGAGTAAGATGTTGTTTACTATCCTGGTGGAATATGGATCAAGCTTGAAAGGTTCTTCCAAGTCTTCTTCCATTTCTATTGTGCATATTGGCTCCGCGGCAAATCCCCACATGTCCTCTTCATCATTATCGTGGTTTATTTCTAAGAGTGATTGATCATTTATTGCTATTTTAAGTGGAGAAGCATGTATAGTCATAGGAAGCCCTTGATAGTTCAACCTAATCATTTGATGAAGTGAGGATGGTATTGCAACAAGCTCATGTATCCAAGGATTTCCAAGTAGAAGGTTGAATGTAGATTTTATGTCCATAACATGGAATTCAACCATCTTTTGTATTGGGCCTGTGGTAATTGGTAGCTTAACAGTTCCACACATCGATCTTCTCGAATTTTCATAGGCCCTAATGCTTTGTGTTGTTGATTGAAAATCTTTTTCTGGATTAAGGATTAAGTATTTTTCAGTTCGCAATGGGCATACGTTTACAGCTGACCCATTGTCTACCAAAGTTAGAGGGATGTTGCATCCCTTGCACCCCACAGTTAAGTATAATGCATTGTTGTGGGTAATGTCTTTTGAAGGCAAATCATCATTAGTGAAAATGATTGATTTGTCGGATTTTTCGCTAGTAAGCAAGCTAACGAGATCTTGAGGGGTTGTGTCTGTGCTTACAGACAAAGCCTTTAGAGCATTCATAAGAGAATTCCAATGTTCTGTAGAAGTACTTAGGAGTTCCCAAATGCTAACATTCGCCTTGGATTGGCGAAGTTGTTTGACCAATGGATCTTCCACCTCAAGTGGAGGTGGTATTGTATTTTATACTTGACCTGGAGTTTGATTTTGTGTGATCGAAGATCCATTTGGTGGTGGTGCTTGGTAAACTCTCCCAGAACGAGTTAGATGATCTATCTCGTTTGGATTAGTTGTAGGACTCACAAACCAACTTTCTTCTAGAGGCTTTGAGTGTGCCTCCATTTCAAGATGTTCCATGAGTTGAGCTTGATGTCATTGTTCATCCAAGGAGAGATTTGATAAGTCTTGTGGCTTCCTCAAGAAATGATCCCAATCAAGCGCTCCATTTGTTTCATTTTGTAAACAAGATGGAGGTGGGACGGCGGCATACTTAGATACATATAAGTCTTGAAAGCCGTCGTCCCATAGTCCACATACATCATTAGTTGCCCTTATGAGTATTGTGGATAGAGGTTCTCCTATAGGTGTGATATAGTTCAAAGGATTGAACACATCGCTTCCCATATGGTCCTCATTGATGTGAAACACCCCTAAGGGGGATGCATTATTATTAGGTTTAGGCGTGGGAATTCTCCCATCGTTTATGCTTCAAGACAAAGCAACGTTCAGTATCATGTCCCTTACCTCTATGATAAGCGCAATAAGCATTACCATCCCAATTAGCAAACCTTCTTTCTGGTGGAGTGGGTGGTGTTGTTCCTGTTGGCGCAAGTAAACCTTTTTCATTTAATTTTTTTAGCAATTCTTTATAGCTCACGGGAAATGGAGTAGATTTTCTTTCTCTTGTCCATCTTTTCCTAGGATCATTATATTGATTTGTGTTATTGTATTGCGTGGTGGTCGCAAATACGTCAATAAAGGATGGTGTGCTATCATTCCCCTTCTTGTAGTTATTTTTAGGTTGATGATGATGATGGGGTTTATTTGCTTTTTCTTTAGCAAGATCATCTTCAATCCTAGTAGCCACGGAATAGACTTTTTGAAAAGTGTCTAAACCAAGGTAACGTAGATGTTTGTTGTACTTTTCATGACAGTTGTCAAAGAATTTTTGTACTAACTCGAGTTCGGGTGGCCTTTGGGCAGGGTGGGCCGCTTTTTCTCGCCATCTACCATAGAAAGCAAGGAAACCTTCATCGTCGCCTTGCTTAAGCATTTCGAGTTCACGTATAGTGGACTTGAACTCTACGTTACTCTCATATTGGGTAATGAAAGCCGAAACTACATCTTCCCATGTCGCCTTGAATTTTGGATCTAGCCCATAGTACCACTCTCTCGCGGTTGGGTCTAGAGACAAAGGGAAAGTCAAAGCGTGAAGCTTAGGATCAACTCCCTTTAGTGCCATGGTGCCAGTAAAACACATTAAATGATTTTGTGGATTATTGGTCACCTTAAATATTGGCAAGTCCGTAGCTACGATTTTTTCCGGTAAAGCAAGTCCTGCGGGAGGAGCAAACTTTTCTGCGTCAAAGTACTTGTTCCCCATTATAGAACGAAGAACTAGCTTCTCCAACGACTTTTCTTTGATGGATAATTGTTCCATCTTTTCTTGCAAGGCTAAGGCTTCAACATTTTTCTTATTAGCCTTTTCAATTTTCTTAATTCTTTTTTCCTCGGCTTCTTGAGCCTTTTCCTCTCTCAAACGAAGAATCTCCTCTTGAAGTTCTTGAATGAGTTGACATTGTTGTTGGACTAGGACTAGTTGTGAAGAAAAATAGTTTAAAAGGGATTGATCTTTGGGTGGTAAACGTAGAAGGCGAGTGCCTGGGAGTCTTCTTTCCCAAGATTGGAAACCGGCCCTAAAAGAAGTACGAAAGAATAAGTAAACCGATACGCTTGCTTAAAAAGGGAAAAAAGAAAAAAAAAAGAAAAAGAAAATGACGCAAGATATATTCGACCGGATAACATCACCCCACCCTTAACAATTCTTGGATAAAGATATTGTTTTGACGAGTCAATTTGTTTTTTAAAAAATCAAAATTGACTCGTACAGTGGGCGCGCGAAAGTGATTAAGTTGCGCGCGGCTGC